AAAGATCCCAACACTCTGTAGATGCTCTACAGCCAGGCATTGGAGGACCATGTAGGCGCTCCAGGCCTAGGCAGGGGCTCCAGCATCCCCACTCACACCCCACTGGTCAGGTTGCATTCCTAGCTCCACCCCCTTTCACGGGGGCCAGAGCACTGCATTCTTGTGGGTGCACGAGGGATATGAATGGAGAACATGGAGGAAATGTGTTGGTCATTGTTTTTTGTCTCTGCCACCTGTTGAGTCTGTGGCATGGCACACTCATACTAATGCTTTGCATAAGGTTGAGAAACTGTCAGTAACTTGCCCCTTGTTAGAATTCCGATCCGAGCACCCCGACACAGGTGTGTTGATATGCTAAACCAGACACTTCTGTGTGGCAGGGGCCAACTTCAGTGTAGAGATGCTTAGCACATCTCTGGCGTCTGTCTCTGAGCTGCTAATGCCCAGCTCATCTGTCAATCACAGTATCTCCAGGCATTGTCCCGCTGACTCTGCCCCCCCCCTTAAGATTTATTTTGTATACAGTTGTTCTGCCTAAAGGCCAGAAGGGGGCGCCAGATCTTATCATAGATGGTTGTGAGCCACCATGTGGTTGCTGGGAATTAAAACTCAGGACCTCTGGAAGAACAGCCAGTGCTCTTAACCACTGAGCCATCTCTCCAGCCCCCGTCCCGCTGACTCTTGAGAGGCAAAATCCCTTTGTTTGAAAGCTTCTGCTTCATCCCCGGGTTGGAGAATGTTCTAGCTTCATTTCTGTGGCTATAATAAAACACACTGGTGAAAAGCAATTTAGGGAAGAAAAGGGTTTACTTCGGCTTACAGTCCATCATTGTGGGGAAATCGAGGCAGAAACTTCAAACAGCTAGTCACATCACACCCGCAGGCGAGAACAGAGAGAAAACTTAGCGCACGCATACTCGACTGCCTGCTTGCGTGCGCTCATCTCCGTTTTCCTGCTCTTACACAGTTCAAAGACCCTGGCTTAGGAATTGGTGCTGCCCACAGTGGCCTGGGTCTTTCTCACATCGAGTAATTCATTTAGGAATTCATAGCCCGGCGGTGGTGGCGCACGCCTTTAATCCCAGCACTCGGGAGGCAGAGGCAGGCGGATCTCTGGGAGTTCGAGGCCAGCCTGGTCTACAAGAGCTAGTTCCAGGACAGGCTCCAAAGACACAGGGAAACCCTGTCTCGAAAACCCAAAAAAAAAAAAAAAAAAAAGAATTCATTAATTCCTTCATCCCCCCCCCCCCCACAGGTATGACCGCAGGCCAATCTAATGTGGACAATCCCTCATGGAGACTTTCTTCCCAGCTGATTCAGGATTGTGTTAATTTGATGATTAAAGCCAACCATCACAGGGAGACAGGAGTCAGGGGCCATGCCCCCATTGTTACGATTATATAGAACCTCCTTGCTAGGAAAGGTTATGAAAACTGCCTTAGCATCTGACCTGACCTAGAAAGCAAGCATACTTAAGCTTCTCTGTCTTACAATGGAGAGGAAAGACCTGTTCATCAATCCTTCCATTCGGTGTAGCTTTGCATTGGCCTGACTGAGAACCAGACCCTAATCCAGCCTCGAGGCACAAAATCACAAAGTTGGGGGCTAAAGAGATGGCTCTGTGGTGCAGAGCACTGGTCGCTCACGAAGAGGACCTGGACTCAATTTCCAGCACCCACATGGCAGCTCACAACCATCTGTAACTCCATTCCAGTGGATCTGACACCTTCTTATGGCATCCAGGGCACCAGCAGGCATGGTGCACAGACAGACGTACCCGTAACAGGCAAGATACCCGTAACAGAAAAGTAAAAAATGAACAAATCTTAAAGCAGCAACAACATAAACATTTCTGCATTCAAAATGTGTGTTCTACAGGCAAGGGACTGGCATCCTGAGTGATAATAAAAGCCACAAATGAGAATTAAACAGAAAGGGCCACGGGGCTGTCGGTAGTGAAGTATTACTGTTTTGTTTATTTATTTATTTATTTTTAATCTTCGAGACAGGGTTTCTCTGTAGCTTTTGCTTCCTGTCCTGGAACTAGCTCTTGTAGACCAGGCTGGCCTCAAACTCCACAGAGATCCACCTGCCTCTGCCTCCCGAGTGCTGGGATTAAAAGCGCGCGCCACTACCGCCCAGCTAGTATTACTGCTTTAAATAGCTAGCTAGACAGAAAGTGACATTTGAGCAGCAACAGGCGGGATAGGAAGGATAGAGCCCTGATGGCATTTGTGGGGGTGGAGGGGGGGGGGCAGGAGTTGCTGCACAGAGAAACAGCAAGTGCAAAGGCCCTCATCCAGGTAAGGAAGAGTAAGTGTGGCAAGACTAGAGTTAGGTGTGGGCAATGACGTTTGTGGAATTGTGTATGACTACGGTAACTCCGTGGCTTACCCAATGCAATGTCTAGTAGCAATGCCAGGATTTAAATGGGAGCTCTTAAGATCTCTTTCCAAATGAATGAGCCGATGGGAGCCACTTTCTCCTCTGCACGGCCGCTCATCTAGAACCACACCCTCCTCTGTCAGCCACGCCAAGTTTGGGCTGTGGGCTGGGTGTTTACAAGAAGCAGGGAGAAGGGGAGAGAAGCTGGTGATATATAAGAGGCCTACTGGGTTGCACCGCATCTTCCAGGGCCTGTGACAGGCACACACGACACTTGGCCTCCTCTGAAGCAGAAGCAGCATGGTGGTTCTGGCCCTGACACTCCTTGTAGCTGCTGTTGCTACGTTCTCGCTGGGAGTTCTGTTGTGGGTGATCTGTATACAGTTTTGGACTGAACACATCCCTGAAGGCATCACTCATCCTGTCAGGCTGAGGATCCTCAGCTGCCTTTTACATCTGACAATGACATGGGTGAGTTTATGTTTTGTTGCCTCCTTTGCCCGAGGACTGAGGACAGAAGTGAGGAAAAAGCAGACACTGGATGCTTCAGTACTACTCACGACTCAAAGTATGTAAAGAGAAAGTAAATGTTCTTCGTGTCTCAGTCGGCTTCCTATTACTGTAACAAAATACCCAAGACAATGGGTTTACAACGCAAAAAGGTTGATTTAGGCTCATGTTTTCTGAGGTTGTAGCTTGTTATGTTAGCTTCACTGTGTTAGGCCTGGGGAAAGACAGTATATTCCAGTAGGAGTATAGGGCTGAGGAAATCTTCTCATGTCCCAAGAAACAAAAGAGGAAGAAGAAGGCTGAGGTCCCACGGGGCCTTTTCTTTCAAATTCATCTAGTATTTATTATACAAAGCAGTGGGCTTTGCTGTGTATTTTAGAGTATATATGTCATTAGACTTTGTTCTTTTTTGGTTTTGTTTTCGAGACTGGATTTCTCTGTGTGGTCTCAGCTATCTAGGAACTCACTCTGTAGACCAGGTTAGCCTGAAACTCCAAGATCTGCCTGTCTCTACCTTCAGATTGCCTAGCTTAGACTTTGATCTTTTTTTTAAAAATGTTTTTATTGAGCTATATTTTTTCTCTGCTCTACTCCCTTCCTCTCCCCTCCCCTTCTACCTTCTCTCATGATCCCCCTGTTGCTAATTTACTCAGGAGATCTTGTCTTTATCTACTTCCCATGTAGATTAGATCTATGTATGCCTCTCTTAGGATCCTCTTTGTTGTCTATATTCTCTGTGATTATGAATTGCAGGTTGTTTTTTCTTTGCTTTATGTCTAAAAGCCACTTATGACTGAGTACATATTATATTTGTCTTTCTGGGTCTGGATTACTTCACTCAATATGATTTTTCTAGATCCATTCATTTGCCTGTAAATTTCAAGATGTCATTATTTTTTCTGCTGTATAGTACTCCATTGTGTAAATGTACCACATTTTCTTTATCCATTATTCAGTCAAGGGGCATTTAGGTTGTTTCCAGGTTTTGGCTATGACAAACAATGCCGCTATGAACATAGTTGAGCACATGTCCTTGAGGTATGATTGAGTATCCTTTGGAAATATACCCAAAAGTGGTATTGCTGGTCTTGAGGTAGGTTTTTTCCTAATTTTCTGAGAAATTTCCATACTGATATTGAAAGCAGCTGTATCAATTTGCACTCCCACCAGCAATGGAGAAGTGTTCCCTTTACCCCACAACCTCTCCAGCATAAGTTCTCATCAGTGTTTTTGATCTTGGCCATTCATGCAAGTGTAAGATGGAATCTCAGAGTTGTTTTGATTTGCATTTCTCTGATGGTTAAGGATGTTGAGCATTTCCTTAACTATCTTTCAGCCATTTTAGATCCCTCTGTTGAGAGTTCTCTGTTTGGTTATTGGATGATTTGTTCTTTTGTTGACCAATTTCTTGAGTTCTTTGTATATTTTGGAGATCAACCCTCTGTCTGATGTGGGGTTGGTGAAGATCTTTTCCCATTCTGTAGATTTCGACCTTATCCTCTACCTTCCCCAAGTGGTCTATATCCCCAGTGATCTCAGCACCTCTCAGCCTTCTTTGCAAAGGCTCTATCACCTATAAATAGCATCACCCTGGGGCCATTTCCAAATGAAAGACTGAGAAAGATGGAATTGTGCCAATTATGGTACCCAATTAACACAGAAGGAAAGTCGAATCTCTTTTTTTTATTATTTTTTTTTTATTAGTCCTGGGTAATTTGCGAAGCTCTGAAGGTAGGGATGATTTTTTGGGCTCCAGTAACCACAGACCTACTAATTAGAGTCAGCAAACAACAAAAGCAAGAAAACAGAAAGTAAATTAGTAAATTAGCTCAAGACACGAGCAGAACCATAAGCTATACCTTTAAAAACAAAAGAAAACAAACTATCTTTTTTCATTTTACATACCAACCCCAGTTTCCACTCCTTCCCTTCCTCCCTCTGCCTACCCCCTACCCCATTCCCCATCCACTCTTCAGATAGGGTAAGGCACTTTGCTTTGGAGAAGGTTCAAAGCCCTCCCTACTATATCTAGGCTGAGCAAGGTATCCATCCAAAGAGAATAGGTTCCCAAAGAGCCAGTACAAGCAGTAGGGATAAATTCTGGTGTCACTGCCAGTGGCCCTGCAGTCTGCCCCAGCCATGCAACTGTCATCCACACTCAGAGGGACTAGTTTGAACCTATGCTGGTTCCTTCTGGCTGGAGTTGGTGAGCTCTCATTAGCTCAGGTAGACTGTTTCAGTGGGTGTACCAATGATGGTTTGACCTCTTTGTTCATATTCTCACTCCTCCCACTCTTCAACTGGACTTTTGAAGTTCAGCCCAGAGTTCTGCTGCGGGTCTCTGCCTCTTTTTCCATCAGTTGCTGGATGAAGGTTCCATGGTGATATGTAAGATAGTCTTCAGTCTGACTTCAGAGTAAGGCCAGTTCAGGCACCCTCTCCTCTATTGCTTAGGGCTTGGAATTTGCATGCAAATGGATGAAACTAGGAAAAAACATCCTGAGTGAGGTAACCAGATCCAGAAAGATGATGAACATGGTATGTACTAACTCACAAGTGGATATGTAAAGCAAAGGAGATTGAGCCTAAAGTTCATGATTTTAGAGAAGCTAAGGAACAAGGTGAACCCTAAGAAAAACATACATAGCTCTTCCTGGGAAGGATAAATAGACAAGATCACCTGATAAAATTGAGAGCATGGGGGTTGAGGGAAAGGGGGGGCAGAAGGAGAAGAGGAGGGGAGAGGGAAGCAGGGAGGAGAGCTTGAGGGAATGGGGTAGTTGAGATGGAGGAAGGACAGAGATGAGAGCAAGGAAAGAGATATTTTTTTGAGGGAGCCATTATGGGGTTAGCAAGAAACCTGGCACTAGAGAAACTCCCAGTCATCGCAAGGATGATTCCAGCTAGAACACACTTTTTAAAAAACAGTAAAATTCATTTACGTTATGGGTATGGGTTTCTCCCTTCTCACGGCCCCCTTCTTATTTCTAGCTCACAGCCACACTCTCAACCATTTTTACACACACGCATAAAAATGACGAGGTAGGATCCAGATATGAGAGAGAGAGAGAGAGAGAGAGAGAGAGAGAGAGAGAGAGAGAGCATGGTTTCTGTCCTTCTGAATCTGGGTCACCTCACTTACTCTAACACCCCGAGGACCGTGTCTCCTACCACACAGACATCTGAGCATCCATGTTCACTGCTGCTCTATTCACAATAGGCAGGAACGGAAACCACCCTAGACATCGATCAAGAGATGAATGGATGAAGAAAACACACAGGAGGAAAGGCACAAGAAAAAGAAACGAGACAAGGTCTCACTATATAGGCCAGGCTTGCCTGAAACTGCAGAGATGTCTGCCTGTGTCTGTCTCTTGAGTGTTGGGATTAAAGGTGTGCACCACCACACTCAGACACAATAGAGTTTTATTCAAGCATTAAAGAGAGAGGGAGTATTTTTAGGAAATTGATGCAACTGGAAATCATTATGGCAAGTGTAATATACTGGCACATTTAAAACAAACAGCACACCTGGCCTGCTTTTACACACGGCCAGACTAGAATCCATGATTTTCCCTCTGTCATTTTCTTCTGTAGTCTACAGTCCAGGTTCCTAGTTATCATGACTCAGTTTCCCTGTGTGCTAAACAGGGAATCATAGCAGCCCCTACAGCCTGACATTTCTCGAGGATCCCAGAGTTGAGCTATCCAGAGGGCATATTGCAACATCTGGGCTAGGGTAAGACCTGCTTACACATCACCCGTTGTTACTGTTGATTCTTTCTGTAATGGATGTTAAGCAACCACTGTGTGTCCTGGCCCAGGATCTGAGCCCAGAGATAGGCGGGGGGGGGGGGGGGGGGGGGCGGGGGGGGGGGGGGGGGGGGGGGGGGGGGGGGGGGGGGGGGGGGGGGGGGGGGGGGGGGGGGCGGATAAAAGAGGCAGAGTCTCCCTCCAGGGAGCTTGCAGTCCATGGTAGCAGAGGGCAAGGGCTGGCCTAAAGGACTCTAGCTGCAAAGGATTTCATACAGGCGCCCGACCCAGGAGGAAAAAGCACAGCAAGGCAGAGGGGGAGACATGGATTTGCTTACTCAAGGGTCAGAATGCAAGCAGCCCATAGCTTTGATGAGTAAGGATACAAATTACCCCCTTTTCACTGCTAACCTCTACAGCATCTCCTGCCAATGGGGGTTAGGAGCCTGGAGGTTAGCAGAACATGGTCTCCAGGGCAGAACTGTAACTCTCTCATAAGAAGAATAACAAATGTTTTGACTGAGGGATTATTTTGTGTGCTACAGAAAGTGGTGGCCTTATCCCTTTGAGACCAGGGTTCTGTCCAACGGCATGTTCATGTGTGTGCACATGTTCAAGCGTGTGCATCGTTACAGCGTACATATTATTTGTCTGATGGCTCCATGCAGACGAAACTGCCTTCCTGGATGAATTTCTTGTATTTATGATATATTTTAAGGAATATTCTGTGGCGCTGAGAAGAAGGTGCAGCCTGTAATGTGCCCACTGCCCAAGCATGGGAACTTGAGTTCAGATCATGAGAAGCCAAGCACAGACCTGGCATGATGGTTTAAGCCTGTGCCCGGGGAACGGAGGGAGGCACAGAGACAAGAGAATCCTTGAAGTTCATTGGCCAGCCTACCTAGTCTAACTGATGAGATCAGTAAGGGATCCTGTCTCAAAAAATAAACTAGATGGGTCTGTGAGATGGTGCGGTATCTAATGTCAGTTGGCACCACCCTGATGGCCCGAGTCCTATCCCTGGGTCCCACATGGTGGAAGACGGAACAGACTCTGCCAAGCTGTCCTCTGATCTCTGACCATGTACTGTGGCTCATGTGTACCCACACACACACCCACAAATAAATAAATACACTAAAATAATAAATCATTAAACAAAGATGATGCAGTCGAGGAAAGACACCTAGTGTTGACCTCTGCTCTCATCATACACACAGATGTGCATATACCTGCATTAGTAAATACATACACCACATATACCCCAGACACTGTATACATACCAAAAGGAAAAAAAAATGTTCTGAGGTGAGTCCACAGGCTTCAATCACAGTCCAGAGGGCTATGATTTAGGACTAGAAACTACTGGAAAGATCCGGAGAGTGCCCGCTTATTTATTTGTTTGAAAATGATTTTTCATACAGCATATTCCATTCATGTTTCCTCTCCCTCATCTCCTCTCAGATTCTCCCTATTTCCCCACCCATTTGACTCCATCCCTCCTTTCTCTCTTTCTTTAGAAAACAAACAGACCAATGAAGAACAAACAAACCAGAATAAAAGCAAATAGAAAAACAGACAGAAGCTGGGCGGTGGTGGTGCACACCTTAAATCCCAGCACTTGGGAAGCAGGGATCTCTGAGTTGGAGACCAGTTTGGTCTACAGACTGAGTTCCAGGACAGCTAAGGTTGCACAGAGAAACCCTACCTGAAAATAAGAAAATGAAAGAAATAAAGAAAAAGAAAAATAGGAAGGGGTAAAAATCAAAGAAAAAGCAGGAGAAAAAAAAAGAAAAAACAAGAGAAACATACACAAACACACAAATACGAAACTGAAAACCATAATAGATAATCAAAATACAAGCAAAGTTGGGTTTTTGTTGTTTGTTTGTTTGTTTTTAAAGCCCCCAAAAAGCATTATGAGACAAAACCTTTCTAAAAACATCATTGAGTTATTCTGTGTTGCCCATCTACTTCTGGGTATGGAACTGCCCTTAAGTATGGTGTATATACCCAAAGAGACTCCATTAGAGAAAACTCTGTTCTTTTTTGAGTGGCTGTGAATTGGAGATAGTGTCTTGGTTAGGGATGGGGCTGGTGTCCACTTCCCCTTGGTTAGGGATGGGGCTGGTATCCACTTCCCCTCTCAGCACTGGGACCCTATCTAGCTTGGACCCTGTGCATGCTGCCACAGTCTATGTGAGTTCATATATGTACCAGTCTTATTCTGCCAGAAGACACGGTTTCCTTGGCATCAGCTATCCCCACCAGCACTTACCTCTTCCTCCTGTGCCCTTGGGGAAGGGCTTTGATGGAGACATCCCATTTAGAACAGAGTGTTCCAAGGTCTCTCACTTTCTGCATATTTCCCAGTTGTTGGTCTCTGTATTTATTCCCACCTCCTGTAGGAGGAAGCTTTTCTGGTGATGGTGGAGTGAGACACTGGTCTATGAATATAGAAGAATGTTGTTCTTTAATTTCTTTTGGAAACATTTACCTTGATCTCAAAAATAACACAATAACCCGAAGAAGCCTCATTTGCCACCACTGGTATTGACATCACTGACCATGTGGTCAAACACATACACCTTCCTACTTCTACCCTCATTCTTAATTTTTCTTAAAGAGAAAAGCCTTTCTTTTTCCAGAAAGATTTCAGTAAATGCCCTGGAAAGACGAGAAAACACCTCCCTCTTCAAAAACATCATCTCCATAGCAATACGTATTTGGGAGACCCAGGCTGTCTTCCCTGGAGAGAAGGCCACACCCAGACCCCAGGTAGAGCAGGAGTCTTCAAAAGGGAGCCTCATGCATTAGCCAGAAGCCTAGTTTGTCGTGTCTGGCAGGTAAAGTGTCTAGGAAGAGTGTGGCTGAGAGGAGTCTGTCTGGTGATGGGGCCACATGGGCCTGGGTAGGTGTGGCTTTAACTGCAGATGCCTCATGAGGAGGCTGAGAGAGAGCGGAAATGCATGTCTGTGGTTCTGTCTGATCCTGGGGAGGGTAGGTGTGTCTGACCGGCTCCGGGTTGCATGCAAAATGGCTGACACATAATCTTAACCCCTTGTCTCTTCTCTCTCTAACAGGGGATGATTTTTGAGAAGCTGGGACTGTGTTATGCACCCCAGTTTGCCAGTTTTGTGCATGATCTGAGGCCACTCAAGAGAGATCCTGATGTTGTGGTCACGGATCTTCGCTTTGGGACAATCCCTGTGAAACTATACCAGCCTAAGGAACACTCCTCCACTCTTAGGCCTGGCATCATCTTCTTCCATGGTGGTGGGACCATCCTAGGGAGCTTAAGTAAGAAAGTTTTTTTTTCTGGCTTCTTTAAGGCGCTTGTCATCCTGCTAAGTGGGCTTAAAGAATGGTCACCTTGTAGGAGCTGGAGAGATGGCTCTGTAGGTAAGAGCACTTGTGGCTCTTCCAAAGGACCCAAGTTTGGTTCCTAACACCCATCTATGACATCATACAACTGCCTGACACACCTTCACACATGTGTGTACAACATATCCACAACAGGAAACGTAAAATAAATCTTAAAGAAAGGATGGTCATTCTCCCTGGTAGATGGTTTAACGTTATGCCCAAGAAAACTCAGAACAATTAGTAGGTACAGATCACTTTGGTGGTATACTGTGCAATGGTCTGACCTCTTCCTAAATTGATGTGAGGATACCACTGTCACACACTGAGCCACTGTGATCTACCCACTTTTGATAAGTGTTGATGCTCAGTGGGTCATGGGCATCTTGGAGAATGCTGTCCTCGCACCCCACAGAAGCAAAACAGTGAGGAGTTGGAAGGATATTTACTCAACAGTCAGAGGTTATTTTATGGCTGCTCAGCTAACTTAGGCACTCTGTTTACAAGAGGAGAATGGCCACAGGGTTGTAGAGAGGAAAATGTCCTAATACATGTGACGTTTGATTTGTTTGACAGGAACGCACCACAACATATGCTTACGTTTGTCCAAGGACTGCGGCTCTGTTGTTTTGGCAGTCGGGTGAGAAAGGGGCTAATGGAACACATAAAGCAGACAGCCCTGGTTTGGAGTGACAGTGTCTGGAGTTTGAACCTGAAGCAGATGGAACTGGAGAGGAGAATGGGGGAGGGCTGGGCTGTGAGGACCCAGTAAAGAGAAGCAAGGAACAGAGGAGAGAGGGACGGTGGACTGAAGCCCCTGCCTTGGTGCATGAAATATCTGTGGATTAAGGCATCATTTTACCCTGTCTTTTGAAGGCTGGTGGGAATGGGGATGGCACTTTGATTTGGGCTCGAAGAGTTCCTTAGGTCTAACAGCCCTGTCCATAGCAGACATAGCATCTCCTCTACCTAAAGCCAGCAGTGCCCTGCATGCCCAGTGGAACATCTGAACAATATCACATCCATTTTCAAGTGCAATTGCTTCCTCCGAGCCCGAGTGGCAGGCGTGAAGGCTTTATGTCTACTGTGTGTTTGGGTCCTTGCGTATCTCTTCCTGTTCAGGTGTCAAAAAAGGGATCTGAGATACGAGGTGTTAGACAAGGGTCCTTTGGGTTTGACTGGGCATCGAACATAATCTCTGGTCCTTGATTCCACTTCAGATACAGAAAGTCTCCCAAGTACAAGTACCCAGTGATGAAAGACGACTGTATAGCAGCCACCACCCAGTTTCTGAAGTCGTTGCAGGTGTATGGAGTGGACCCAGCTCGGGTTGTGGTCTGTGGTGACAGCGTGGGAGGGAACGCAGCCACTGTGGTTTGTCAAGAATTTCTGAAGCAAGCAGATCTTCCCCAGATCCGGGCTCAGATTTTGATCTACTCTTCACTGCAAAGCATAGATTTTCGGGGTCCTTCTTATCAACAGAACGCCAACATCCCACTGCTCTCTTGGAATCTGGCCTTTTACTGTTGGTGCTGCCACCTAGACTTGAGGACTTCCTGGAAAAATGCCATCAAGAACGGTACCCATTTGCCTCCGGAAGTCTGGGAGAAATACAGAAAGTGGTTGGGCTCAGAAAACATCCCAGAGAGGTTTAAGAAGCGAGGCTACCAATACACACCCCCAGGACCTGTGAATGAAGACGCTTACCAGGAGACAAACCTCATACTGAACTCAGTGTGCTCGCCCCTCATCGCAGAAGATGATATAGTGTCTCGGCTCCCAGAAACCTGCATTGTGAGCTGCGAGTATGACCTGCTTCGGGACCATTCCCTCTTATACAAGAAGAGGCTGGAAGATCTGGGGGTGCCTGTGACATGGCACCACATGGAGGATGGTTTCCATGGAGTGCTTAATACCCTTGACTTTGGCTTCTTGACTTTCCCTTGCTCCTCAAGAATTATGGATGTGGTTATCCAGTTTATTAGGAAGTTGTGACCCTCATCCCTTCCTGTGGTGGCTCCACCAACCTAGTCTGGGTCCTAGAAGAGTACAGTGTATGCTCTTTATGACGAATAGAGAAGAGACAGCCTGGGGAGAATGCAGAGAGACTCTATGTCCTTGTTCACTCTTGGGGAAAGTCTGAGCTGACCATCTTCAGCATCCATTTGAGAGACTGAATCTGCATGAAGCTTGTCTATAATCCCCTTAGCTAGAAGTCAGGCTGTCTAGGCTGATTGAGACTGTATGATAGGTGTAGCTGTTAGACTTGACCTGGAAGAAAACGGGTGTGTTGTGTACAGTCTCGCTGAGCTTTGCCAGTGTGGCTCAGGATGTAGAACTCTGGTGTCCAAGTCTGTTGGGTGGTGGGTGGTCAGTGGTGGTGGTGACACTTTCTGGGTGCCCCACTTTCTTGAACTGAAAGCTATGAGACAATAGACAGATTCTCCATGGTACATGGTATAAATGGAGACTTTTCTCCTTGTCTGGGCCCAGTGGAACGGTTTCCCTCTGCCTACCAGTCCTCGTAACCACTTATAAGATAACCACTCAGAGGCTCAGTATTAATTGTAATTGTTTGGTCAATGGCTTAGGCATATTACTGAGTAGCTCTCACAAGTAAATTAACCCATCTCTATTAATTCGTATATCGTCACATGGCCATGGCTTACCAGTGATACCCTTGCATGGTACTCCTTTGGCTGCTACATGGTGTATGCCTGACTCTGCCTTCTTTCTCTTTGTATCTTTGGATTTCCCACCTGGCTCTATTCTGCCTGGTCACCGGTTAAATCAGCTTTATTCATCAACCAATGAGGGAGACACATATTCACAGCATACAGAAGGGCATCTTACATCAACATGGCTCTTCTATAAAGATGGATAAAGATAGCCAGAGTTGTATGCCTAGGAGAACTTAGAAGTTCTGGTATCAGAGTTGAATTCCCAAAAAAATGACCCTAAAGTAGTATCATAATAAGACCAGAAGGAAGCTGAGTTCAACCCAACTCAGACCACATTCACAGCCAACGGAATAGATGCGTTAGTGCGAACTATTTGTTTTAAGACAAGGAATCAACAAATATTGCTCCAATTAGCCATAAAGTGGATTGGCATATGTAGCTGTGAATCTCAGGTATAAATCAGGTGTGGTCTGATGGAGGGATTTTAAGATAAGAGCACTAACTTACCCTCTCTTATTTCTGCCCTTATCTACCTCATGCTGGTGTCTTCATCTCTCTGTGTGGTACCCCTAACAATTCCCTACTAAGTTCTTTAAGAGTTATGTTCATATGGGCATATCCATTTTCCTCAGCTGACTCAACAAAAATTTCAAAGCAATTTATTGATTCTACTGGTTTTCTTGAGCTGTGTGCTGTGGTTACAAACAAAGAAATAGACTTTGTTTGTATAACTGCGCAGTCCAAAGTCTATGCTATCCTTGGAGTAGAATATATGTAGTTGGCTGTTTTTTACTCTTTGGTTCCTTGGGAGGCCTGGCACCCAGCTCCCAAATAAATCACATAGAGTTACTTTCTTTCTCATAAATGCTCGGCAATAGCTTGTTTCTTGCCAACTTTTCTTAAATTATCCCATCTACCTTTTGCCTCTGGGCTTTTACCTTTTTCTGTTTCTGTATATCTTTCCTTTCCTTCTTATTGCATGTCTGGCTGTCTGGCTATGTGGCTGTGTGTGGCTGGCCCCTTTTTTTCTCGCCCCTCGATCTTTGAACTCAGGTTTCTCTTCCTATTCATTCTCTCTGCCTGCCAACCCCAACTATTTCTCTCTTTCTGCCCGGCTATTTGGTCATTCAGCTCTTTATTGGACCAATCAGGTGTTTTAGACAGGTAAAGTAACACAACTTCACAGAATTAAGCAAATACAACATAAAAGAATACAACACATCTTTGCGTCAGTCCCCAGATGTTCCACAGCATAAACAAATGTGACACATCTTAAAACAATATTCCACAACAAATATGGAGGAGCCTCCCTGGTATTTGGACTGAGCCAGGGGTGAGGGCGAGGACGCAGTGAGTACTTCCCTAGTGGAAAGCTTAGATGGGTGTTGGGTAGGCATGAGTGTTCCCTCTATTATGGAAGAGACATAGAGGTCCAATTGAATCAAGTTTCACGGAAGTGGCAAAATGTGCCAGAGACAAGACGACCAACTGCTGCCCCTTGGAAGTGAAAATCCCTTTGAAGGGGATGAGCACATGGTCCTGCTGTCTTTAGGAGGATCTGCCCCTTGTTGACCAGCAGCTTTCAAAGGCCAGCACCCAAGTCCACTGACCATGGAATCCAGGCATGTCTTAACTTGCTTTCAGTTGACTGGGCTGAAATATGATGAGGTGGCTTCTTGGGCCATTCACAACTGGCCAGCAGCTGGCTTTGGAGAAACATAGGAACCAGCCATGGAAAATATGCACTGTAGGAAGTAATGGGATCCTGGGAACCTGGTCCTCTCTGAGACAGGCCTTCGAGTTGAGGCTGAGTGGGTCTTCAGACTGGTGTGTTACCCCAGCCACTGGAGGCACAAGGAGTGTGGATTGGCCTTTTGGATATATGGGTACTTGTCTCTTCTATTGGGAGGAGGGAAAATTGATAAGCTACTGGGAGACTGCCCAGTGGAAATGGCTGGGGACATCCTAGGGCTGAGGGTACATTTCCACAATGTCTTTCCTCTGGAGATGAAGAAAGAGAGAAAGGACTTTTACCTTAGTAGCTGGCCGGGGACCCTAGTATCAAATGGGTACACCTCTCTGCAAACCCATTCATCTCTGTCATCATTGCAACACATTCACGGGGGCCAACTCCTCGTGTGCACAGTATTGAACCTCCTTGATCTTTACATCAGTTCTATAAATCTACACAGTAGTGCCTGCTTACTTGCTCTCTTTCTCTCTGTCTCTCTCTCTTTCTCCTTTCTCCCTTCCTTCCTTCCTTCCTTCCTTCCTTCCTTCCTTCCTTCCTTCCTTCCTTCCTTTCCTTCTTTCCATTTTAATTTGAGACAGGGTCTCATCTTATAGCCCAGGCTGCCCTTGCATTCATGGTGTTCCTCTTGCTTGGCTTCAAAGTGAATATTATTTTGGGGAGACAGGCTCATACTCTATAGCAAAGACTGACCTAAAACTCACTATGTAACTCAAGCTGATCTCGAACTCACAGTGATCCTTCTGCCTCAGCCTTCCAATTGATGAATTACAGATTATATCTAATGCTCTCAAAAATTACTTTTAAAATGAGGCAACTGAGGCTCTGAGAAATTAATAACGCCAATCTCTTGATTTCCCCCCAGTCTCCAGTTGATTGATTCAATGCCCAAGGCTATGTGTATACCACTGTTTATGTGTATACCTCACTGTATACCATAGCCTGACAAGAAAACTCTTGTTTGTACCCCATGGCCTACTAGCCAAGAAATGAAGTTCTTTTCTTTGTTATTATTCATTAAAATAACGGCGACACCAGGCCTGTCCTCTTGAGTCACTCCTCATACACAGGTATCAGATATGATCTGACTTGACTAAGGCTGAAATCATCGAGTATTTTCACTCTCTGGATCCTCTGCTTTCTTGACTACAGCTGTCTCTGAGACCAGCTTTGCCCAGTGTAGGAGCCTCCTTGAATTCACTACTAAGGTGGCCAGTTGAGAGCTCTTAGGGGAGGTGGAGACCCACATACATTTAGACCCAGATTCAAACTGAGAGCATTTTCTCAGTAAATTCCAAGTACTTCTCTAGAAAGCCCTGCATGCCAGCTCATGGCCAGAACCATCTGATAAAGGACCGAGAACTGCATCCCAATTTGCTTTTTTTCCCCCATCAGACAGGGTCTCGTGTATTCTAACTTGGCCTTGAATTTGTTCTATAGCTAAGGTCCTCCTAGCCTGAGCAGAGATTGCGAGTGTGCATTACCATATTCAAGTTATACAGTGCTGGGACTCAAACCTGGGGTTTCATGCATGCTAGGCTAGCTACATTCCAAGCCCACCCCCAGTGCTTTCTCTGAGCAGCAGACAACTGAGAGAAAACTTGGGACACATCGGAACGAGTCAGATGTGTCTCTGCTGCTCTGCGCCCCACTTTGCCTCCACTGTCTGTGACAAACAAGACTCCGTGGCCCTCATCTCTTTGTCCCCTTGAACTCTGCTCCAAGTAACTGCTTGCTTGATCATCTTATCCTTAGGGTTAGCAAAGATAGGTCAGGCTGTACTAATGGCTCCACAGTCCCTGGGGCTATGACAGCAATAATCTATTTTTCACATCGCAGGGCCTTTGTAGGTCAAAGAGGAGTTCCACTCCCACCCGCAGCCACCCCAATAGGGTAAGGGGCAGGCTCTAGCCAAAATATCTTTGGTTTTGTGGTAAAAGGAAAAGAGTATGGTAATCCTCACCCATCTATCCAAATTTCTGCTCTGAGAGACGAGCTTGGCTTCTGCTCACATGGCCAGAACAGGCACAGGGCCAAACCTAACCTCAATGAGACAGAGATGCAAACTCTTCCTGAGGGAAGAAAATTTAGAACTTGGTATTCCTGAAATCAGAACGTCCCAATTTCCTGACTTTAAATAAAATTGACCTGAAGACAGAAGGTGTGGGGGGCTTGTCCAGCATGTAGGAGGCCCTAGGTGCAGGACCAAAGCCAAGCACTTTCCAATTACATTAGTGACTCATGAAATACAGCTTCCTTTCATGTAAAACCTTAAAATATTAGAAATATGGCTAGCCTTTACTTTAAAAAAATAAAGTTTACTCATTTTTACCTGTATGAAGGTTTTCCTGCAAGTATGTATGTGCACCACAAGTTCAGTGCCTGGAGGCAGGCACAGAAGAGGGCATCGGATCCCCTGGAACTGGAGTTACAGGCACTTGTGAACTGGCCTGCATGAGTGTTAGGGAGAGATTCTGTGTGCATCACTATACCTGGCTCCCACTTTGATTTTATGTAATTTTGTTTTGTTTTTTTCAAAGTACTATTTCTCTGTGTAGCTATAGCTCTACTGGAACTCACTCTGTAGACCAGGTTGTCCTCAAACTCAAAGATCTGCCTGCTTCTGCCTCCTGAGGGCTGGGATTAAAGGCCTGCCACCACCACCACCACACCCAGCTGCTTTGATTTTTTTTAATGTGATATTACAAATCTCTTAAAACCTGCTTCCCCATATTTACATATGTACCTATAGAAAATATATATTATTTTGAGAGATGATTTTGACTAACACAATTGCCTAAAATACACTATTCTCTACCTGTTGTCTGTTTTGTGCTGTTTCAGCCAACAATTTATCTTAGAAATCTAACTTAGTAAAGATATTATCTTAGTTTCATTTATTATTTTTTAAATTATGTATGTATCTGTGTGTTGGAATGTACATCCAGGGGTCCTTTGCTCTGGAGGTAAAAGCAAGGTTGTCAGAGGTAAAACACTAACTACTGTTTATTTGAGTTAGGAGACTGTGACAGTCTTAACTCAGGTTTGTAGGTTTGGCAGCGGTGGACTTTACCCACTGAGTCGTCTCACCAGATCCAGTGATTGACCTTGGTGAGATTTAGAGTAACTATGGAAGCAGTTATCTGAGCGTGTTTGGGAGAGGATTTCTGGATTAGCAGAGCTGAGGGTGAGTAACACCATTCTACAGGTTGGGGATCCAGTCTAAAGGAGAAAGAGAAAGATGCCCAAGGAAGCCACTGGGATCCCCTGGAGCTGGAAGTTAAAGGCTGTCTGACAAACTCGGGTCTTCTGGAATAGCAGAAAGTGCTTAACCAACGAGCCACCTCCCCAACCCTAATCCCCTTTCTCTTATCACAGTCCCTAACTCAAATAAACAAGTTAGTGTTTTACCTCCGACATCCTTGCTTTTACTTCCAGAGCAAAGGACATTTGGAGTCAGTGAGCCAGCTCCAGCCTGCAGAAAGCTACCTGCCAGGGCTTGTTCTATTCTCTGACCTGAACTCCTACCCCCTAATGCCACAACTGGTTGTCTTGTTTTGAAAATTGCCATACAAGGTTGGATTAGATAAGAGAGGGCCTGGGGTTCAGTTTCTAAGTATTTTTATTTCTAGGGAAATCCTCAAAGAAGGACAGAGCTGCTGTTTCACTGGCAGAGCAAGGCCCTGGGTTCAATTTCCAGCACAAAAAACAAAACCTCACAAACAATAAAAAAAAAAAAAAAAACCCGCCTGGGCAGGGGGAGAGTCTCTATTAAAATGAAATAACATTCTACATATGTCATCACTACAGAACCATTTATTTAAAGATTTGTTATTATTATTCTTAACTGTGTGTATGTAGGGGGAAGCTTATGTATAGGGGCGAGCAGGTGCCATTGGAGGCCAGGGACTTCAGATGAGAAAAAAAGGGGGGCTGGCAATATGAATCTGCTGAAATTATAGAAAAGGAAAGAATAAAAGGAGGGAGAGAAAAGGAAGGGAAGGACAGAGGGAGGGAGAGAAAAAGGGAGGGAAGAAGGAAGAGGAAGAGGCCAGCCCAGCAGTTAGGAGTTTAAACTGCTCTTGCAGAAGACCTGGGTTAGGCTCCCGGGTTCAGAGAATCCAGCGCCTCCTTCTGGCCTTTGCAGTAACTGCATGCACTTGAGGTTCATACATTCATGCAGGTACCCACACATACATATAAAATAAAATTAAAGCTTCTCAAACACAGACCCTGTGTGACTCTCTGCTAGGTCCTCTGTATATAAGGTGTGGTTGTGTTACTTGGTGTTCTTGTGAGAGTCCTAACAGTGGGAAGTAGGGCTGTTTCTGACTCTTTTGCCTGTGCCTGGGACTGAATTGCTTTATGCAACCTTGATAGGAGGGTTTGTGCCGAGTTGTTGTAACTCGTGATGCCATGCTCAGTTGGTATCCCTAGAAGGCTTGTCCTCCCACCCCAAGGGAAAGGAATGAACCTGGGAGAGAGGGGAGGTGGAGGAACTGGAAGGAGTGGGGAGAGGTGAACTGCAGTTAGGAAGAAGAAAGACAATTGTCTCACAGGCTACCTGAGCATCTGAGCATCCCCAAGAAGGTAAAGTCTGAACTTGAAAACTAGGATAAAACTACAAATGGTGACCTGAACTTTTGGAAAGTAAAACAAACAATTAAAAAGTAGAACTGTTGGGGCTGGAGAGATGGCTCAGAGGTTAAGAGCACGGACTGCTCTTCCGGAGGTCCTGAGTTCAATTCCCAGCAACCACATGGTGGCTCACAACCATCTGTAAAGAGATCTGGTGCCTTCTTCTGGCTTGCAGGCATATGTGGAGGCTGAACACTGTGTACATAATAAATAAATAAATCTTTAAAAAAAAAAAAGTAGAACTGTTGCCGGGCGGTGGTGGCGCACGCCTTTAATCCCAGCACTCGGGAGGCAGAGGCAGGCGGATCTCTGAGTTCGAGACCAGCCTGGTGTCTACAAGAGCTAGTTCCAGGACAGGCTCCAAAACCACAGAGAAACCCTGTCTCGAAAAACCAAAAAAAAAAAAAAAAAAAAAAAGTAGAACTGTAAAAGCAACGTAACAAATTCTCTCTCTCTCTCTCTCTCTCTCTCTCTCTCTCTCTCTCTCTGTGTGTGTGTGTGTAGTGTGTACATGAATCAAACAGAAATTCTAAAACTTAAGAATATTTTTTAAAAAACCACAACATTATTTTATTTTTGGAAAACTTAGCCCAGGCTTTTCTTAAACTTGTTATCTTCCTGACTTGGTCATTTAAATGTTGGGAATTACAGATATGTACCAAATACTTGGGTGCTTATGGGTTTTATTTCGTATTAGATGTATCTGAAGAAGATGTATGTGAGGTGGACTCTAGGTAGAAGCGTTTGAATCAGTATGAAGGGATGGAGGACTAGACAATATCAAAGGGCACAGGGCACTGCAGGCATAGTGACGGCATATAACAGGTGCCTATTGTCTGCCAGAAGGGGAGGAGAAGGAGGGTGGATTCCATACTTGACAACACCCGAAAGCTTCCTGAACACTTGAAAATTTTATCCACAGATCAAAGTAGTACACACGTAGCATAAAGCAATTCACCCCAACACATACCAGAATGAAGCTGCAGAGAACCCAAGAGAGAAGACTGAAAACAATTGTTGGGCCAGACACAATGGCACACGCCTTTAGTCCTAGCACTTGGGAGGGAGAGGCAAGAGGATCTCAGTGGTTTCCAGGCCAGCCTAGTCTTACAGAGCGAATTCCGGGAGTCACAGAGCGAGATCCTGTCTCGAAACCAAAAACTAATAAATAAATATTGAACCAAACAAAAACCCAACTACTTCATTGGTGAGATGACTTAGTGGATAAAATGTCGGCAGGGTAAAATCAGGAAAGAGTGGAATGATCTGTTCAAAGTGTGAGCAAAATTAGCCATCGAGAAGAATTTGGTGCTCAATAAAAGTGAGCAAGCAGGATGTTTTCAGATAAAACAGAAACAAGGGGAGTTTGCTGCAATCAAAACTGAATTGAAAAGGAAGCTTATTCTTCAGGAGAAAAGAAAGATGATCTCACACGGGAGGTCAGAGACACAGGAGGGAATTAGAAAGTGTGGCAATCAGAGGATAAACACGACCAGCTGGTCTCTCCTTCAACCAAGCCGTCCTCGGACAGAACTCGGGCCATCGTTGGCAAGTGCCTCTACCCACCGAGCCGTCTCAGTGGCCCGTTTGTAGCTCTTTTGATCACGCGTTTGGACAAGATCCAGAAGTGCCCACAGTGCAGCTCTTTCTATCCAAGGGAAGGGGGTTTGGAGGTATCTTGCCACTCCGGAAGCTCTCTGAACCCATCCATTTCTAGCTTTTCGGGTGCCTTATAGGAATGCTGAACACATCATATATTGTGGTTAATTCAGCCTTTGACCTCTGACCCCTTGGCTCTGACTCTACCAGGAGTGCACCTACAGTCAGCTCACTGCCGTAAAAAGTCGGAACTGACTGAAGAGGATTTACGATGAATTTTGGTAGGGGAGGCTTCTAGCCGCTTCAGGAGCTGGGGATATACACACCTAGATATCACAATGTCCGGAAAGAACATGTCCACGGAATGCAGTGGGGCAAGCCTTCAATTCCAGAGTTCAGGAGTCCGAGGCAAGTGGATCTCTGTGAGTTCAAGGCCAGCCTGGTTCGTGCATCCAGTTCCAGGACAGTCAGAGCTACAGAGTGAGACTTGGTCTCAAAGCAAAACAAAAAATTGCAGTTACCTACAAGGGTTTTATGTAAGGGCTTCTCTCTCTCTCTTCTAATTATGTGTCAAATTATGTATCATCTATATAAGTAATTAATTATGTCAGGGCATGAAGCTTGCTTCCTTTCCCAAAGATGAAAGCAGAAGAATTTGAGTGAGAATTCAACTGATTCTTATCAAACGCAGGCACTATAAAAATATGCAAAAAATAAATACATAAAATCATACCATTCTTCGTACACATTCTTGTCTGAGGAAATAAAGTTAATGATGTCATTTGCTTTTCCTAGTTTAAAACTTATAAGTCTATTTAAGATTTCTGATTCGGTTTTTAATATGACAAGTATAAGAAGCTGCCTGAGAAATAAAAAGTCAGCCGATACACCCCAACGTACAGTCGTATTAGCCAGGGCTCTCTAGAAGAACACAACCAATAGAACCAAAGGGGATTTATCAGGTTGGCTTACGTGATGCAGGCTGGCTAGTCCAACAATGACTGTCCACATGCTGAAGAGGCTGAGAACCTGTTGACCCTTCAGTCCATGTTGCTGGATGCTGCAGTCTGGTGCCGAATACTGGGAAACTCCTGGAGAGCCACTGGATGGAAGCCCGAAGAAACGGGGCTCTCCTGGTCGCAGAGTACAGCAGTGGCAACCATGGATAGATGGCACTCGGTGGCAGGAAGTGAAGGCTGGCATGTGTGGTCCTGTCTTTCTCTCGGATTTCCTTATCTCTGGGCCAGGGCTGAAAGGTGCTGCCCACTGTGGGGGACAGTCTCCCCACTCAGCTAATTACCTCCCACCCCCGAGAGGCATATCACTTGGTGGATTCCAATCCAATCAAATTGACAATCCAAATTAATCCTCACAACAGCGTTTGCCAATTCTGTGACGTAAATATTCGCACTGTGACAGATTTTAGCCATGGATGTGATTTCACAGCATTTGGAGGAGATGGCAGCTGTTCTCACAGGAGGTCACAGCCAGCCTCGTTGGAGCTCCACTCAATATAGTGTTTCTAACGAGCTCCTGGAGGGGTGGTAGAGAGATGGCCCAGCAGTTAACAGCACTGACTTCTGCTGCAAAGGATCCGGGTTCAGTTTCCAGCATGCATGAAGTTGCTCGCCAGTGTCTGTCTGTAACTCCAGTTCCAGGGGATTCTACACAGTCTCCTGGCTTCCATAGGCACCTGAACACATGAGTGTGTGCGTGCGCATGTGCACAGGCACACAAACATCATACACACAATTTTAAAATTAACTTTATTTAAAAATGGAGACCCTACAGTTTGAAAACCCCTGCTCTAGGGAAACGGCTATCCATGGGCATCAGGAGATGGCTCTGTGGTCATTAGTCCTGATTGTCAACTTGATTGGTTTAATTTAAACATATCAAGGAGATTAGTGAAGTTCTCCCTGGCTGTGGCTATGATGGTTCTCAGATCCCTTGAGGGATCTGTCATGGGGTGAAACGAGGAAGGTGGCCCCTCGCTGAGGGAAGGAGGTCACTGAGGGCCTGTTTCTGGGGCTCTGTTTTGTATTGGTCTCCTCTGTGCCCTTTTCTCTGTTTCTCGTCTGTTATGAAGTGGTATTTGTTCACATCGCTGCAAAACTACCACTCAGTAATAGAAGACGTTGCCTTGTAGAAACTGTCAAAAGCAAAATGGAGTTATTATTTTAAACACTAACCAGATGGAAGCTGGATGTCTTGGATGAAGGGTCCCCGTGCGTATGCCATATTAAAAAGAACAATACCAAGAGACTCCGCCAAACCACAATTGACTGTCAAGGCCACATCTATGATACCATCTTTTTGGTAATAAATGCTAGGCTAATTGAAGCCAAGGAAGTGGCCTTGCTAAACGACAAACCAGTGGTCAAGGGTGCTGCTAGGAAGACCAAGGGATGAAGCTACTGCACACCTCACTGCTCATGAACGCCTCAGAACCTACAAACCTGTACGCTCTTCTCCTCTTAACCTTTGACACCTGGCCCCTCCCCGAGCAAACTTTTTAAAATGCACCTACAACTATCACATGTTCATCATCCCAGGTTGGGAAATATTATTTATTCTGAAATATATTATTTTCTTAAGTTTTAGAGTCTTTTTGTATTAAAGATACACCTCAGGCCAAGTGGTGGTGGTGCACGCCTTCAATCCCAGCACTCGGGAGGCAGTGGCAGGCGGATCTCTGTGAGTTCGAGGCCAGCCTGGTCTACAGAGTGAGTTCCAGGACTGGTTCCATAGCTACTGAGAAACCCTGTCTCGAAAAGCCAACAACAACAACAACAATAATAATAATAATAATATACCCCAGACTACAGAGATAGATCAGCAGTTAAGAGCGCTTATTGGTGCCACAGAGGACCCAGGTTCAGCTCCTAGCATCAGGCAGCACACAACCATCTGTAACTCCAGTCCCAGGAGATCTGATGCCAGTTGTGGAATCAGTTTCTCCTTCCATGGCTACCAGAAATCAAACTTTGATGATTCATCTTGCATGGTAAACACTTAACTCTCTGAACCATCTTTCCAGCGTGAAGATGTATCTTTTTTTAATGTGTGTGTGCGTGTGTGTGTGTGCACGTGCACACGTGCGCCTTTCTAAGATTATGTAGCATTTGCACCCATGTGGTATGACTGTGCCTGTACTGTGGCTACTTCAGACAAAAGTTTTTTTTCTAGGGCTGGACAGATAGCTCAGTGGTTAAGATCACTGACTGATCTTCCAGAGGACCCAGGTTCAATTCCCAGCACCCCCGGGTTTCTATAACTCCACTTCCAGGGAATCTGACATTCTCTTCTGACCTCCATGGGCAATAGGCATGGATGTGAAACACAAGTAAGCAAAATGCAGGAAACAAACTAAAACTTAATTTCAGACAGTTTCCTCTATTTATTAGGGCATCTTTTTTTGGTTAGCCCTTTTCCTTTTTCCTTTCTCCTCTCCCCTTTTCTCTTTGCCTCTTTCCTCTCTCTCTTCCCCTCCCTCTCCTATTCACCCTCTTCCTCCTTTCCTCTGCTAGGGTTTAAACTATGGGACTTTTCACATGTTAGGCAAGTGCTCTGCCACTGAGTTACGTAACATTGCCCTAGCCCAGGCTTTCATAAGAGCTCCAGAACATTGCGTCATGTAGACATCCTCCACCATACTGAACCAGCCATCTGTAGATAGATATCTTGGTGGCTCATGATCCTTTGGACTAAAGAATAAGCAAAATTTTGGGCTCTGTCCCATTTAGCTGAGCCGAGGTCTGTTCATTAATACATTGCAACCTCACCTTAGCTCCTAAAACACAGAATGTGAAGTGCTTATGGAATGAATGAATGAATGAATGAAGACTGAATGAATGAACCATATTGTGTTCGCTGCAAATACAATGTAGGGTTCTTCCCTTAGTCAGAGTTACAGACAGGTAGAAGCTCGAGCTTTAAGCAGGAGTTGGAACTGATGTAAGTCTCAAGTGTCCACCAGCTAGCTGGGTGACATTAGGTGCCTGAACCTCTCTGTGTGCTTCAGCATCTTCAAGTACAAAGCAGATACTGTCATGGCACCAGCCCCCAAGAGGCGCTGTGAGGGAATGTATAGAGATCACGGGTCTAGCCCTCCTCCCGGGGTTGATCTTGAGAACAGTTTCTGGCCAGACACCTTGTTCCATTTTCCAGCTAAACATCCTGTTTGTTCCTGTGCTCCCTCTGCCCCCCTGGTGGTTAGCTATAGGGCCATTGTTTACTCCATTTTGGGTTTGGTAATTTTCTACCTGCCTTGGGGGGAATTCCATTGTGCAGCAGCTAGGGATATAAGGGATTTCCTAAGCCTGAATAAACAGCATTTGGCATTCTTTCCTCAAGAATAACCCAGGTCTCTTGTGTGTTCCTTTCATTTCCACGCCCTTGCCCCGCTCGCGAATAGTACGGCCGCGTGAACTGTACCGCAGAGTCTTAGCATGGGCTCACATATCAGCAGTAAGCAGTATTAAAATTCAACTCACGCTCATGAAAGAGTCCGGCAAGGGTGGTGTCCCTCTTGTAACAAGAGATACCTAGCCTTTCCCTACCATTAGTCTGGCTTCTTTATGTGGGGCCAACTCTGCTCCTCCAGAATCAACTGCTGCCTAGAGAAGAGTCTGCAGCCAGTGTCTGTCACCATGGATACAGTCAACAAAGAGAATCCAAGATCACATCACTCTCCAAAGTGAGCCCTCCAGACTTTGTTTTAAATTTCCTGAGCTTGACAGAGGGCCACCTGCTACCCACTCTGGGAAGGCAGATGAGGAAAGGAACATTCGAATAACCCCCAAATACCTCTCTGTCCCCTGAATCTGCCCAGTCAAAGGGACGTGGGGAGGAGCCTCACCATGTTTGTGACTTCAGCGGTTCCTCAGGCATTTTCCACGCCAGGCTGGCAGATTGAGAAGAAGTACTCAACGAGAGTGCTCGTGGGAAACTGGGTGGAAGAAAGCAGGAAGGTAAGAAGGGACAGTCCGTGGGGAAATCACTCAGGGAGAAGTGAAGTCCGCTTTTCTCAAATGGGAGGCAGCCTACAGTTAAGTCTGAACATCATGGTCTTCGTGCTCTACAGGAAAGATGCATTCACACAATAATTAAGGTCCCTCCTCATGTCTTAAAGACACCATAGTAGGGTATGGATACAATTGTACCTCTAGCACTGTTGTAACTGGACTATTTCAAGGCAGCAGAATATTCCCCAATACCTTTGCTCTTTTAAATTTTATTATTATTTATTAGTTTTTATTTATTTATTTATTTTTAGGTAAGATTCTTTCCACTTACCCCTGGTTGTCCTAGAACTCATTGTTTAAACCAGGCTGACCTTAAACTCACAGAGAGGTGCCTGCCTCTGCCTCTCAAGCGCTCAGATTAAAGGTGGCATGCACCACCACCTTTGTACTTCTTTAAAGTGGTTTACTGGGTTGGAGACATGGTTCAGCGCTTACTGTTCTTGTAAGGGGCTGGAGTTTGGTTTCCAGCCCCACCCCCATGGCTGTGCTCACCCAAAACTTCAGGAGATCCAATGTCCTATTCTGGCTTCCTTGGGCTGTATAAACATGATGAATTTACATACATGCAAGCAAATACTCATACATGTAAAATCGAGGTAATGAATAAATCTTTAAAACCAATAATTTGTGTGTGTGTATGGGCGTGCACGTGTGTGTGTGCACTTGCATGCAGATGTCATATCCACTGCAACAGGAAGATCCCTGAGAATCAATTCAGCCTTCATGATGACTGGCCCCAAAGACAAGCTAGCTAAAAAAAAAAAAAAAAAAAAAAAAAAAAAAAAAAAAAAAAAAAAAAAAAAAAAAAAAAAGCCTCCCCTTGCCTATATATAGTCAACAAAGTGTGGAAGAGTTGGTGCTCTTAATTTTTATTTTTTTCAGCAATGAAAAAAAAAATCATTAGGCATACAAAGGAAAAGGAAAGCATGCCAAAGAAATAAACAAGTTAGCAACCTTCCTAAAGATACAAAGAGTACCGATGTTCATACCTTTAATTCCAGCACTCGGGAGGTAGAGGTAGGCAGATCTGTGTAAGTTTGTGTATCTCTGTGAGTTTGTGGCTAACCTAGCCTACAGAGTAAGATCCTGTTTCAAAAAAAAAAATAGCAATGGCTGAAACTATCACAGCTTGAGGAAGGGCATAGCTTTATGAACCCCAGAAGTTATAGGAATTCAAAGGAAAATAAATGTACAGACACTTTGGTGGTAGTCATGACAATCAAACTATTAGAAATCAAAGACACATGGACTCTTAAAAACATGAAAAGCATAGGCAGGAGAGGTGACTCAGAGGTTAAGAGTACTTTTTAACTCTTTTAGAGGGCCCAGGTTCAATTCCCAGCACCCACATGGTGGCTCACAACTACCTGTAACTCTAGTTCAGAGGATCTTATGCCCTTTTCTGACCTTCAAGGGCACTAGGCTATTCATGTGGTACACAGACATCTATGCAGGCAAAACACTTATACTCATAGACTAAATAAATCTACAGAAGATGACAGAGGAGGCAGAGAAAGAGAAGAAAAATAGAAAGAAAGAAAAATAAATGAAAATAAAAATCACAAACAATGACTTGTCCAGAGGGGGAAGGAGAAAGAAAGATAGGAAGATAAATACATGGAAAAAAAAAACACCACGGACAATGGTTTGTCCAGTGCAGTAACAATGACTTATCAGAGGGCGTGTCAGTTGAGGCTTTCAGCAAAAATCTAGAAGCGGTGTGTGGTCATAAATTCAAAGCGTAATAAAAAGTAAAGACTGTCAGCTGAGCTTGCTATAGCCCACAAAACTTTCCTTCAAAACTGAGAAAGTAACGAAGACATTTCCAGACAAGCAAAAGTCGAGGCTGGCTGTCCACTCGGAACTCTGGAGATCCAGAGACCTGCCTTTGAGGTAATCATTCAAGTTGAAACTGATATGCAAGTTGAAAATGAAAGGATGCTAGCCCACTTAAATGAAAACACAGAGACAAAGATAAAAGCCGGTAACTGTACAATTTAAAATTAGTAACTACCCGTTACTTCCTACACGATTTAGAAAAATAGATAAAAATCGCAGCTCTATCCAAATGAGCGCACAGCTCATTATGATGTAACTTGTAACAGCAATGAAATAAACAGGACTTGCAAGATAGCTCTGTGTGTAAAGGTACCTGACAGCAAGCCTGGTGATCTGAGTTTGATCCCTGGAACCCGCATGGGTGGAAAGAGAGAAATGGCTCCTACATGTTGTCCACTGAGCTCCACATGTGTGCCATGGCATGTTGCCCCTCCCCCGCCCCATGCATTTAGATAAGTAAAATGTGCTAAGTATTTAAAATACACACTCTTGTTTTCATCTTAGGAAACTTACCTAATAACCGATTAAACCATGCAATAGAACTTTTTAAATGTTGCTTTTATCTATTTCATCAAACCTCAGCTTTCACAGCTGCAGAATTAAATAATAAAATGCAATAAGAGTCTGAAGAAGACTTGTAGCTGAAGACGGGTAGAAGGTTATAGTTTAATAGTTCTTATGTTGTTTATGTTTCTTCTTATAAACTGTAGTTTTTATTTTCTTGAGGTTTTCGTTTACATTGGCAGAACACTGACATTGGGGTTAGTTGGGAAAGTTGCTTACAGATTGCTTTATGCCCATCAGATAGGTCCCTATAATAGTGTGGACTTTAGCAACACAATTGCTGATGGGGAGGTAGGTGGGAAGGTAGAGCTTGAAATGTGTTAAAGGTAAGTTTTAAAGACAACTTGTTGCCACTTGCCTCATGGCTTTTACCTCTCCCCCTATATGTCTTGTCCCCGCTACATCTGGTGGGCAACTCTGCTTTTTCTTCCCCGAGTTCTCTCTGTCCAGGAGTCCTGCCTATACCTCCTGCCTTACTATTGGTTGCTTAGCTTTTTGTTACACCAATCGCATATCTTCCCAGTGACATATCTTCACACAGTGCAAAGGAACATTCCACAACAGAGGGGCTGAAAAGATGGCTCAGTGGTTGAGGCCACTGGTTGCTTTTCCAGAGGACACAGGTTCAGTTCCCAGCACACACATCAGGTCATGACCACCTGTAACTCCAGTTCCAGGGGGAATCTGATGCCCTCTTCTGGACTCTGAGGGCACTGCACACACATACAGACTGGCAAAATACCCATATACATAAGATAAGGAAAAAAAATTAAAATAATGAGAATAAAATTAATTTTAAAAAAATGTTTCCTAAAAGGAGAAGGGGGAGGAGTAGAAAGGATTGAATACAACATGACTGTATGACTCTGAGCCCCTTAGCTCATGCCCTTCCTGTGTTATTTGGTTTCCTGGGTTCTTATTCGCTTTGTCCCTGTGTGGTGGCTGAGGGACACAGCAAGGGTAAGAAAGGCATCAGCACCTCAGACGGTCTCACGGCCATTGTGTTCTTTTCCAGTTCACCAAAGCCACTGACCACACACCCCAGTGTATTTACAGAAAGGAATATGTCCCCTTCCCAGGTCACAGACCAGACCATATTTCCAGGTGGTATGGGAAAAGGAGAGTGGAGGTAAGTGACATTGATTATCAGGTGGGATTGTGCCAGAGGCTCTAGAATCCTAGCACCTCCAGGTACAGCAGGGAAGGGCACCTTCTACACGATTTTCCGCTGCGTGTCTCCCTCCAGGCTCGCGATGGGGATAGAAAGCTTGTCACCATTTGTCCGTAGGGCATAGCTGTGCTGTGTGCCACCATGCTCTGAGAATCCCAAGTGAGAATCGGGAGTGTTTTGTTTGGGCCAGCCTGTTGTCTCCACTTCCCATGTCACCCCCATGTCCCCCAACACCTGTTTAAACTCAGGCCAGTGGCTGGCGGGAGTGAGGTGTGATTTGTGAGAAGCAGAGCATTTTAGTGAGGGGAGGGGCCCAAGAGACCAGCTACTCAGAATGCAAAGGCTGGAGACCAATTCTTCCAAACGGTGGGGCTCTACGGGAAGGGCACAAGCAGGTTGGCTTTCCTGTAAACAAGAGACAGTGCGTGCATCTTTCTCTTTTAAACTTTGTTTTGTTTGGGGGAGTTTTTAATGCTTGATTTTTTTTTATTTTGTTTTGTTTTGTTTTTCAAAGCACGGTTTCTTGTCTTGGAACTCACTCTGTAGATTAGACTGGCCTCGAACTCAGATCTGTCTGCCGCCGCCTCCTGAGTGCTGAGGTTAATTAAAAGGGTGTACCACCACTGACGCCACCACCACCAGGCTTCTTTTAGACTTTCAAAACGCATTAAATTGTCGGTTTGCTGTGGGAGACATCTGTGCATGGGTGGAGGCCAGAGGACAATTTGCAGAAAATGGTTCTCTCCTTCACATATGGGACCTGAGAATCAACCTCAAGTCCTCAGGCTTGGCAGCGAGCAGCTTTACCAGCTGAGCCTTCTCCAGCCCAAGCCACACCTGTGTTAAACTACAGACCTGACTGACTGGTCAGAACTTCCTAAGTATAATGGGTTGGAATGGCAGATTGAGAGCCAAATTATTGGGGGGCGCTATCTTCTGTCCTCTTGGTAGCCATTCCCTGACTTTGTGTTTGACCCATTGCTATCTGCTGAAAAATTTTAAAATGTAGTAACTTAGCTTCCACCTACCCAAAGCTGAGAACGTCCTCAGACAGCATCTGAGACTTGTAGCAGACATTTCTCCCCTTTGTTAAAACGTGCCTACCTACCTGATGTTCCCACTAGTGTATTTGAAAAATGCTTTATTTATATGACTTTATTTTGTACCTACCAGAAAACTTCACGAGATTCTAGGTGTGGTGGTGCACACCTTTAATCCCAGCACTCAGGACACAGAGGCAGGGGGAACTCTGTGAATTTTAGGGCAGCATGGTTTACCTAGGAAATTTCAGACCAGCCGGGGTTGCACAGTGAAACACAGTCTCAAGAAATAAAAGCAAATAAACTAACTCCAACAATGAAACAAACCTTCCTGAGGGCCAGCTGGCAAGAAAACTCAGTGGGCCAATGACTCAAGTCACGAAACATAATAACCTGAATTCAATCCCTGGAATGTTCTTTGGTGTGAGGAGAGAACCAGTTTCTGCAGGTTGTCCTCTGATCTCCACACATGCTTATACACACACACACACACACACACACACAGAGAGACTCACACTCGCATGCATACATGTATACAAACAAATGTCTGACCTTTTCACATAAATGCAAAACAGCAATTAAAACTATGGACTCTTTCAAAAGAATCATGAAGTTGTTTCTACACACAGCCTGCTATTCTTGGCTACCTGAACGTGTGCTCCCGAGCCCGATCACTCTTAGTTAGTTCAAGAATAAACTATCTTTTTTTTTTCTTTTGCGATGAGAGCTGGGTTTTGCATTGACATTCCAGAGACGACTGTCTTCCGTCTCTGGGACAGTCACACTGACATTAATGATGTCAGACTCAGTGCTGGCACCCCTGAGACACAGCTACACTGACATCCCCGGACCCAGCACACATCTCTAGTCCTCACTGCCATTCCTGGCTGCGTTGGTATCCCAAGACGGTGCAGCATCTCCAGGGCATGCTCTTGGGTTCTTGAACTTCACCACTGCTTTCGTCAGGGAAGACGCAAAGGTACTTTAACTGAAGGAAGTCAGAATAAGAACTCAGAGCCTGGGGCTCCCAGTCCCCAACCACCTTCATCCCTGTTGATACATATCAGATCATTACGTCACAGCTTCTTGGCCTTTGGCTATGATATAGAGGACTGGCTATCTTTTAAAGAGACCCTTGGACTCATTGCAAACCTTGACCCCCAAGACATGGCTTAATATGGCTAAAATGAATACATCCCAGGAGCGGGAAGGATGGTTCAGGAGTGAAGAGTCCTGGCTGCTGTTACAGAGGACGTGAGTTTCGTCCCCAGCACCCATGACTGCGGACACTCAGCCCTCTGTCACTCCAGCTGCAGGTCGGAAGGATTGACTCCCTCTTCTGGCCACCACTCTCAACACACATGCATATAAATAAAAATAAATCGGTACTTAATAGTCAATCTACACAGAGAAATCCTGTCTCAAAAAACCAAAAATAAAAACAAACCCAAAACCCGAAAAACTAACTGTACTTAATCTCTTTCTCTCTCTCTCTGTCTCTGTCTCTCTCTGTCTCTCTGTCTCTCTCTCTGTCTCTGTCTCTCTCTGTCTGTCTCTGTCTGTCTCTCTCTGTCTCTCTTTGTCTCTCTGTGTCTCTCTCTCTGTCTCTGTCTCTCTGTCTCTATCTCTCTGTCTCTGTCTCTATCTCTCTGTCTCTGTCTCTCTCTGTCTCTCTGTCTCTCTCTGTCTCTCTGTCTCTCTCTGTCTCTCTCTGTCTCTGTCTCTGTCTCTCTGTCTCTCTCTTT